ATGACTAATCGAACATGTCGTGAGTCAAGAAGGTTGTGAAAAAAAAATGTTTTTATGCGTAATTTTTTTTTTGTTTTTGTTGTTTACACATCATAACTAATACAACTCTACGCAGTTTCATTTCATCATTTTTTTTCTTACTAACAAACCTGAAATTAAACACCCACCGTGATGTCTATTTATAGTATTCCCTCATTTCTGAATAAGAAAAATTTCCGCAGTAAAGTATTCTGAGCGACGAAGAGAAAAAAGAAAAAAAGTACAATAACAACATGTGGAGTATAAAAAATGAAGAATAAAACAATGTTTCATTGCATCATTGGGTTTGCATCATTTTTTCGTCATTGCTGCGATGAATATAATGAAAAGATGGAAGAGAAAAAACTATTTGCCTTTACTATATGCTTATTATTTATTTCGTATCATTGTGAATAATATTATTAATCAAATTAAGAAGATTCGGTAAAGTATATTAAATTTTTATTCTATAAATAACGATGGATTGCATCAGATTTTACAGAAATAATTTTCTTATTATTGTAAGACACTTCACACATTTTCGAACTGACACTATGTCATCAGCGTATGTTATGATGAAATTTTTTTACTTCTTTCTTCCATCGAATATATCCATTTGCATCACCTTTTGATTAATATTGATTGTGCATATTTCAGATAACTAGAGAAGCACTATGCCTTGTCCTTATGCTCAATTAATCGTCGATGATACAAAACACATTAACGACAGCAGTGACAGTGATACTAGCATTGTGGATGAGGTACTGATCACAAAAACAGCGGTGAATGGTACTGGCAACCACCATCAATCGATCAATGAACCATTGAATTACGCGACATACTTGCGTACAGATTTATTGCTGTCTGCATTGAAGTGTCTCAGTCATACGGATCCTTTGGATAACAACAGTCCACCTGTTCATGATGAACATTTTTTCATCTTGATCCATCAAGGTAATTTGAAATAAAGGGTCTTTATTCGATGAATATTTTTTTTTAGTTTTTGAACTATGGTTCAAACAAATTTTGTTTGAAATCGATTCGATCCGACACATCTTCACCAAGAGTGATAATGTTATACCGTCTCTATTCAACATTAACTTACGATTAAAACGATCAGTTAAAATTTTGAATATATTAGTCGATCAATTTGAATTGCTAGATTCGATGACACCCATAGAATTTCTCGAATTTCGTGGTTATCTCAGTGCAGGCAGTGGATTTCAAAGTCTCCAGTTTCGTATTATTGAAATGAAACTCGGTTTGACCGACCGATTCCGAAGTTCCTTCAAAACGAAATATTTCACTGGGACAATGTTTAAAGGTGAACAAAATGTCGAATTAGAACAAGCTATAAACGAAGAATCATTATTGATTCAAATCGAGGTAATTTCTAAGATCATCGTTCTAATAGATGACGTTCTTCATTCTATATTATTTAGAGATGGTTGGAAACCATTTATGATAATACATCGTTCGATTTTCTTACCGTATTCACATCGTCTGTAGAACATTTTATCGAGCACGGAAAGAAGCAAAAAATCATGGTAAGTAATCATTAACAGTTAGATCGAATCTTTGTTTTTTTTTATGTTGGTAGAATGGTGTTGCTATCGAAACCGCTGAAAGAGATGTGGAGACGTCGAAACGACTATTTGCAAGTATGATCGACTCAAGTGAATATCAAAAACTACTGAATAATAACGAACGTCGAATTAGTCATAAGGCGATGTTAACCGCACTAATGATTTCACTCTACCATCAACAACCTTGCTTTCAACAGGCTTATCAAATGCTCGGCTTACTCATGGATGTCGATGCTCTGATGGCGAGCTGGCGTTGTATGTATAACAATTTTGTATATATTGAAAACTAACCACATTTATATATCATCAATAGATAAACATATGCTTTTGGTTCAACGTCAAATTGGTCGTAAACCAGGCACAGGAGGCACTGGTGGTTTCTCTTATTTGCAGCAAACTATCACGTAAGCACGACAATTATTTGATAAGAGTTACTAATTAAGAAGCAAGACAAACAAATAAATTTTTCATAGGATATTATCTCGTATTGTCTTTTTTTCTCTACTATAGTGAAAAATATCAAGTGTTCGCCGACTTATTTAATGTTTCGTCATATTTAATTCCTCAAAGATTCTTACCGAAATTTATTGATAAGTCTATCCAGTCGGCTCAATCGTTATCTTCGATTGCACTTCAGCCTCATCGAGAAGTGCCGGTTGTTTATCATCATCAAACATCTACGATACGAGATCAATCTCTGCAAAACTCAATTCATTATAATCAAATTCTTTTCTTCTTGTGTCTGTTCGTGACGGGATGGATATTCGCTACCTTCACCAATCCTTTTCTATCTTGATAACTAGATGTAATTTTTTCTTTTCATAGGTGTCATTATACTATCTCAGAATTCTCAACCATAATAATCTGATCATTTTTATTTCTTTTATTCTGTATTCTGCATTTGTTTGATAATAACTTCTCATTTATTCAAAAATAATAAATAATACTGAATTATATTGATTAACAGTCGTGACTCATTGACGATAATATGAAAAATGAAGATAGACAGGGCGTGGGGAGGATGTGAGCGTAAGTGTCATTGATGAATTAAGACAACACCCACACCCACCCTCAAGCTTCAATAGAATGAAGAAAAGAAAAATGAGTTAATATACAATACTCAAATTAAAGTACAATAATATTATTTAAGAATTCATATATTGTTTGAGAAAATAAAAAATTATAAATATTCGTTTTTTTATTATTCATATTTTTCTATTAATAATAAATAAATTAAAATTAAATATTCATTCTTTTAAAATATAGAGTAATTTGTATAATAACTGAAAAAATAAATCTAATTAATTCATCTATAATGATCAATGCTAAAATGCTATCCTAAACATTGATTTCCTCTTCTACCTTCTTCTATAATTTATGTAGATTTATCATTAGATCAAAAATTATGTTTAGATATTTTTTAAACTTGTCGATTTTTTAAAGAAAAGAAGTGTTTTTGGAAAATGAGGAAAAATAGATCTGTTGATTTTGTTTAGATATTTATAGTGAAATACCCATAGTGAAGATTTGGATTGAATCTTTATTTTCAACTTCACAGTAAAAACGTTTTTTTGATAAAAGGACTACTATAAGCTTGAGATTCTATACAAATATCTATAGAGTAACTAGCTTTTTTCTCCTTCTCGTAGAGAAGAGTCCAGCAGAAATAAATTGTTTTGCTTGCTTGTTGTGTCCTCAGGGTCAAAAAAACATCGAAGACCAGTTTTTCGGAAAAGATATTTCTAGAGGTTTTTCGATACGGGGACTTCGAATCTGAGGTCTACTGGGTGACCATAATGAAGGGGTAGGGCAAAGAGGGTGCATAGATAAAAAAAAATACCGAAAACCTATTTTCCACGGTTGTCAATTGTTTTTCCAGTCAATGTGAAGACGATGCATTTCTACGAGAAAGAGCTAAGCGAGTTCTCGGGCGAGCGTTACTTGTTTTCTAGATTGATTTAATCAAAGAGTTTTAGAAATTTCTAACAAACATTTATCTTCTCTTATTAAAATTTACATTTAATGAAAATTAAAATTAAAAAAAAACAATAAAATTAAAATAATTTATCTAATTTAATTGATAGAATCATTATTTATAAATTTGTTAATGTTCGTTTATCTTTACTATCGAGTGTATTTATATTAACTAATGATTGTTCAATAGAATTTTGATTGATTCGAATATTATCATGAATTATTCGATTTGAATCCTAATAAAGAGGAAAACAAAAATCAAGAATTATTTATATAAATAAATTACTTCAAGTTTTTTCATAAGTACAGCAACAACAACATTGAGAAGAACAAATTGAGCCATAAGAATAAAAATAACAAAATAAATCGGTGAAATAATTGTTACAAAATTATATTTATTAGTATAAGATAAATCATCTTGACGTAGAGTATCCTATAAAAATAATACATTCTTTTTTGTTTCCTTTTAAATTATTTATTTTACTTTCATAATACTATTCCAATTATCACCTGTTGCAATACGAAATAATGTTAATAGAGCCATGCCAAAATTTTGAAAATTTGCATGTTTATCAATAGCACTACATAATTGTTCTTCATTACATTCTAATCTACCAAATAATTCAACTCCAAGTGTAGCAAAAATAAAAAAAAGAAGAAAAAATAAAAAACCCTAATTGAAAAAAATAATTTTTTTTAAAAACAAAAAAAAATATCAAATAATTTTATTTACTAAATTTCCAATTTGTGGAAGAGTTTCAATAATAGTATCTAATAGAGCTTGAATACCTTTGGCAATTTTTAATAATTTAAGTACTAAAATAACAATAAAATCTTCTTATTTAATAGATTATTTTTTAAATTTGTTTACTTCGTGTAATTCTTAATACTCTCATAATACGAATTAATGTTGGATTTATTGGAATAATATGTTTATTTTTCATTTTTTCCATTACAATACTACCTATTGATAAAATTACAATAAAGAAATCTAATTGATTCCATCTTAAAACAAAAATAAAACAAAAAAATATATTTCAAAATTAGCTGTTTTTTTTCTTACTTATCTTTAAAATAACGTGATGGTCCAAATGCGATTATTTTCCATAGAAATTCAATTAAAAAAATAACTGTAAAAATATAATTACAACATTCAAGAAATTCCGCCAATGCCTAAAAATAAAATTTTTACTCTACTAAAACAATATTATTGACACCTTCAAGATGCTTTTATTATAATACATATTATTCTTGCATACGGTGAGAATTAATGACGAAAAATCTCACTTAGAATGGATGAAAATATCTAAGTAATCTCTTTGGGGTGGCAGGACGCACAAGGACATTTGATTTACAGAGCTAAAATGGATGGTTGGACGATAGGCACGTCTACAGAAATTTTTTTCGGGGGCGGGGTGATTGACGACTTTGCGGAAAAGTCCATCATAGGAAAAGGTTGTTCCAAATTGTTCGGCCCGTACTCCCCTCCAGGTATTTCAATTTTTTTAGGAGGTGGGGGGGTTCGATTTCATCTCTGCCGACGTCCCTGTTGAATGAAAAGGTCCTGTGGTTGGTCGACGCTGAACCCTGCCTATGCCACTATTCGTATGAAGTGCAACTGAACAAAACTTTATCTAGTTTTTAATTATTTTCTGTTTAAATCAAAAGATTTGTCAAATTCTATAAATAAAAATTTATTAAATAATGTCTTACTGGTGGCATCGAATAATACTCAAGTGACATTGTAATAATATTAAGAATAATAATAATAGCAATAAATAAATCAAAATATTTGTTAATAAATAAATCATGTAAATTTTTGCGAACTGTTGAAAAATTTGCATAATATGGTAAATCATCTTTAAGATGTTGTTGATGTTCAAGTTTTTTTTCACGTTTTAATTTATTTCGAGCATCTTCTTCAATTTCTTGTTGAGCTCGACAATTATGAAAATTTTTAACAACAACACCAACAAACATGTTAAGAACAAAAAAACTTACAATTAAAATAAATGATAGGAAATAAATTAATTTAGCTTCACTATAATTTTTTATTGGTTGTTTATCAACATCAACAGCATCAATACCATTATACATTATTTGTACCCAACCATCTTTTGATGATAATACAAATAATGTTAATAAAGCCTAAGTAAAAATAAATTATTTTAATAATAAATATATTATTCTTATTTTTAATAATATGACTTGGCCTAAATTATCAAAATTATATTGTTGATTTTGCCATTGATGATCAGGCATAGCTTCACATTCTTCTTTTGTTATTACATTGTGAGCAAGAGGTCCTTCACAATAGTAGAATTTACCTTTGAAAAGCTAAAAAAGAGTAATTATACAAGTATATAAATAGATCGATTATTCTATATCAGTACAAAAATCAGCGACTTCTCATATTGAATTTAGGAATTTTATAAACGATCCAATATGTATCGGAATTAGTTAAATTCTTAGTATTAGATGGAAACCGATAAAAGACGTTTTTGCTGTTTGTAAATGAAATTAAGTGTGTTCAATCCAATTTCGCAATCATGCGAAGTACCATAGGATTGTTATAAAAAATGATATACAGATGATATTATTTAGTTTAAAAATTCGAAAAGAAAATACAAATAATGCTTGTTTATTTCTCTTTTATCTATCCGGAAGAGATTCGTATTCGAGTTTCTTTTTTTTAATTAAATCTAATGTATTTAATGAAAAATTCAACCATCTCAGACTCGAATTTACTTATAAAGTTTTATTGAATAATTTTAAGTATAAGTCATATTTTAATGTTTTATTTTAAATATCAATACCAATTTTTCTCATTTACCTGAACGCCGAGAATACCAAAAATAACAAAGAATACACAACAAATAATAACAATATGACCGATGGGTTTCAATGATGAAAGTAAAGTTTGAACGACAAGTTTAAGACCAGGTGCACGATTGATAACTAAAACAATATCATAAAATAATTTATGAAAAGAGTAGAAAATATTTTTCTAACCTCTGAGTGGTCGTAATGTTCGTAATAAACGAAAAACTCTCAACATCCCTAGAATATTCGATGTTGTATCCATTTCTGTTGATGACGTCATACTACCTCTATTCATTACAGTGAAATCAACAATTGAAGTAATTACAAGAAGTCCATCTATAACATTCCATCCTGTATGTAAATATGTATCTCGTCCAACAATAAGTCCACTTGCAATTACTTTAATCATCATTTCAACAATAAAAATTATTGCAAATATATAATTACTATAGTTCAAAAATTTTCGTTCCTATATAGGAAAATCAATATTTATTTAATTTTAATTTGAAAATCAACAATAAAATTATTACATACATAGCTTGTAGGAGAAATTGATGGACGTTCCATAGCAAGTGTTATACAATTAATAGTAATAAGAAAAAGAATAAAATAATCAAATGTTTTTTGTTTAATTAATCGTTGACATCTTTCACGTAATCTAACACGAAAAATACAAAGAAAATGATCATTAAACAATAATATAATCAACCTCTCCGAAAAATTTAGTTTCTAATTTCCTAAATAGTTTATTCATCTTTAACGCTATTCGATTTCGGTTGTATATTAAATCTCTTTCAAGTATTCTAGATGAGTGAAAAACTAAGCACTTTAGAATCAGGGACGTCCGCAGAGAGGGGAATGGGGGGATTAATCCCCCCCCCCGAAAAAAAATTCTGCGGACGTGCTTGTAAAGAATTGTTCACTCCACAAAATTATCAAACTTTAGCGTCTTTCCTCAGGAATCTATGGAAGTCTCAAATATCTATTTGTTCACCACTCACGTCAATTTTTCAGAATCAAAATTGAATTAACTATTTAGAAAATAAGAAACTCAATTTTAAGATTGAATAGATTTTATTGCTTAATCACTCCTCTCGTTTTTTCTTCTAGTTGAATTATTCTTACAACAAAATTTTACCTATTTGAAGGAGAAAATAGATACAATGAATAATTTTCTCGTTTCTTTAAATATTTAAGTATTCGTTGTTCATAAAAACGATTCAAACATGATTGAGTGACCTAAAAGAAAATAGTAGTTTTTATTTTAATAAATTAATCCTATCTGATTAGTAGATTTATTATCCGGCAAACAAAATGCTTTTTTTTGTTACTCGATTTAATATTATTAATTCGAATGTGAGTAGATTCAATACTTTTCTTTTCTATTATTAATAGATAAACAATTTTTCAATGAAATAAAATAAATTCATAGAGAAAATAATAATAAATGAAATTTTTTTTTCTAAAATTATCTATTTACTTTTAATTCTATTTGTGTATTATCTTGCATTGATACATTTAATTCCATATCATTTTGATTATTTTCTTGTTCCCTTGCTGTTCGATTATTATTCGTCGAATAATATAATGAATTATCGATTGTTGATCGACGTTTAAAATGTGAATTTAAACTTATATTCGATTCTTGTTCATTCAAATTCTTTGTTAATGAAAATAATTCATCAGACTTTGTACGACGTAAAATATCTGCTGATATATTTTGTTGTCGATCATTATCAGATGTAGTATTTGTTAATTCATTGATATTCTCAGACGATTGAATATTACCTGTCAGAATTGCATGTGTCTGAAAAAAAAATATTTTTTAATAAAATTCGAAATTTTTATGTCTTACTGTAAACGCATTATTTGATTTATTCAATGTTTCAGTACTACTTATTTTTGTACTATTATCTTTCTTAATAAAATTAAATAATAATAATAAAATATTTCAAAAAAAAAAATCATATATTCATTTACTTCGTCAGAAAAACCTTCAACAACAATCGCAATAAGTAAATTGATTAATATATAATTACCAAATATCATAAGTGCAATAAAATATAATACCGACCATCGTGTTGTCTTTTTCATTCCATTATAAAGTACTTCATTCCAATCTTCTTGTGTTAATATCTATAAAAATTCGAATTATTCAAATAAAAGATATAAATAAGAAATACCTGAAATACAGTTATTAATGCTGAACGAAGTGAATCAAAATTTGCTCTTTCTTGAATACATGTTAAATCTTTTAAATCAGTAGAATTTATCAATAAATTCCATTCCGAACATGTACAACAACGACATTTCATATTGAATTGTTCATGAGATGTTTTATTAAATGCTTCAAGTGTACAAAATTCACCACCAAATAAATGCATACCAAGAACACTAGAATAAATTAATAAAATAAACTATATAATAGTAAAACATGTTCATCATATGATTATTTTATAACGGAATTATTTTTATTAGTAGACAGAAATGAAATGAAATGTAGTGTTAGCATCTGTGTGAGTCACTCGACGCTAATCTAGAGGTTAAGTCGGTCGTTCTAGCCTAACTATATCGATATTCTTCGAGAAGCTTACCTGAAGATGAATATGAAGAGAATTAATAATAAGAAAAATGTCGCCACATTATCCAATGTTTTAAGCATTACAACCTAAATAAAAAAATATACTTTTCGGAAAATTGTAATTCATATTTTAATTAACTCCTATCAAATTAAACTCAATGATCTATGACTTATGTTTGAATTACATTGTATATTAACCCATCAAAACATTAAACTTACTAATTGTCGTCTTAATATTGGCATAAATCTTACAAGTTTAAGTACACGTAATAATCTAAATGTACGTAAAACAGATAATCCACTATGTTTCGTTCCATATAATTCAATAAGACTAATAAGAACAATTCCACCGTCAAATGCATTAAATGGATCTTGAATATATTTACAAAAACCTTGAGCAATTATTTTTAATAACATTTCAATTGTAAATAATATTGTAAATATTAAATTACTATATTCTAAAACAATCGTAAATATTTGTGGTTGTTTATGATGTTCAATAGCCATTGAAAGTGTATTTATAATAATAGCTAAGAATATCATACGATCAAAATAGTTATGATTAACACAATGCGAAATTAATTTTTGAATAATTTGAAAATATTTACAACAGCAATAAGTTTTACATTTTCGACAAAATTTTGATTGTTGATCATCGAATGTTGTATCAGTAATATTATTTTCATAATAACAATTACATCTATCATTACTTTCTTGTTGTTCACATTCGAGATTTTGATTTTTTTGTCGATTTTCTTCAATAAGTAAATTATCATTTGTTGTTGAAGTAATTATATCAAGATTAATATCACATGTATCAGTACCACTATCAATCGATTTTGATAATGTCATTGGTATTGATTGATAAAATGGACAATTTGGTTGATGTTTTCGATTAATTAACGAAGTTGATGCGATAATATTCTCATTCGATGCTAATATATCTTTTGTTATTGTTACTTTTCGTCGATGTTTTTCATCATCCTTCAAAAAAAAAAATAATCATTTTATTATACATACAGACTTATAATATATATGAAGGATTTATCAATCTGATTAAGTGTATACTAGAGATATGCGGGACCAGTCTAGGTCCTGGCGATCGGGACCAAAAAATTAAACTTTGCCGCGACTGCGATCGGAACCAAATAAAAAAAGGACGGGGGCGTATAAGACTGAGAATCCGCCCATTTTCGAAATTTGCCGTGGTATCCCGGTCACATAGTTTTTGAACCCAGCTAAATTTACATGGTGAAGCGATCTCTAGTCTTATACGCCTCCCTCCTTTGCCAGGGGCAAATAAACTTGGCCTCGTATATCTCTAAGCCTGTATACAGTTTATTTTTATGTCATATTTACTTGATTATTTTTCCAGACTATTCTAAATCGTTTATATGTATATTTAAATAATTGTTGCAAAATTTCTATTATATTTTTCCAACAAGAATTTTGTTGATCATTAGTTAACATTGTTGTTGAAAGTGAAAAACGTTTTTGTTCAGCTAACATTCGTCCTGTTTCACGTTTTTTTGTTTCACTAAATTGTGCAGAAATAGCAACAAGACAAAGATTCATCATAAAAAATGTACCAATAACAATCAGACATACAAAATAAATCCAAGCATAAAATGAATGAGCATCTTGTATATAATACATTATACTAACCCAATTTTCTAATGTAATTATCTAATTTAATTCAACAAAAAATATTAACGAAATAAAATTAGAAGAAAAAAACAAACTTGAAAGATAGCAATCCATGCTAAAGCAATATTATCGAAGCTAATTACTCCAGAATATGGATTTTCATTTGAAGTAGCACATACTCGATAATACTGATTCCAATTAATACAACTATTGATTGTTTTATTTATTAATGATGAATTTGATGAATAAAAATCTAGTTCACATGTTATATTATTTTGATGTAATTTTGGAATTTCTGAACATTTTCCCATTCCATTTGATGATGGTAGAGAACAAACGTATGAATCTTGATTCGAAGGAACGTAAAAAGGTTGAAAAGAGAAATGACTAAGCAAGAAAAAAAAAATTAAAAATTTTATTATTTTAAATAAACATACTTGAATAATATAAAATTATTTGTATCTGTAGTATTTGATTGAAAAAAACAACGATTACGTAATAATCCGTTCCATAATTGTACACCAATAATACCAAAAATAAAAAATACAAAAAAGCAAAGAAAAAGTACATTGCCAAGCATAGGTAATGTATCAAGTAGAAGCATTACAAGAATACGCATTGATGGTATACGATTAATAGCACGTAATGGACGAAGTACTCGAACTGTACGTATCGCTGATAAACTTAAACTATCACCTGGTATTAACAATTCTACTAATCTAAACATAAAAATATTTTATTGATTCGAAAAAAGAAAATAATTTAATCATACCCAGTAAGAACAATAAAACAATCAAGTTGATTCCATGATTCAGCTAGATAAGTTCCTTTACCAAATATTCCCATTGCAACCATTTTAATAGACATTTCAATTATAAAATATGCAAAAATAAAATATTCTATTGCTTGTAATGATATACAACGTGCTGTATCACATTTTTTTGATAAATCGATACCGGTAGAATGTGCACATGGTTGATACATACCAAGTGTAATACAATTAAGTAAAATAATAAACATTGTTAAATGTTCAAACCATCGCCATGTTAAAAGTTTTAAACATTGATAACGTACTAATGTTGTTTGTCGAAGACAATAAAATGATTTTTCAACAAAACCTGGAAATGGTAACTTGGTTTTATCTATTTCATTAAGATTACATATATCTGATAAATTATTTAATGAATTAGGTTTATTAAGAAAATGATCAGTTTCATTTATATGTGAATCATCATTTGAGATATTAATTATTGTTGGTAATGATGTATGAGAAATATTTTTATTATCATTCATAGTTGAACAGTAATTATTACTCAATGGTTGAAATAGATTAACAGATAACGACAATCGACATTGATAAATACCTAGAAAATATGATTTATATTTAACATCAATGTAGATCAGATCGATAAGAACTTATACTATCGTTTACAGGCCTTGGTTTTAGTATCGTACTATACTCACATTTGTAGGAAATGAAATGTATGTGGAGCGATTAGTTAGGTATAGAAAAATATGAAGATCAATAGAAGAGGTCAAAAATAAATAAATATATGAATTTAATACAGATTAATAAGAAGATTAAATATAAGTGAATATTTTATTAGTAAATAACAAGATTAAGTACAGTGTTATATATACGAGATTTAAATGTAAAGATAAGAGGATTTAATAAATATAAAAAGATTAGAAATTGATATGAAGAGTAGTAGTTCATAAGTATCACAGAAAATTCGTCTACTAGAAATTTTTCTAATCTAATTTTGACTAGATCTTATATTCGATTCACTATTCAAAATTTCTTTCTCAATACAATGGATAATTTTCATTATTAGACAAATTAATTCAATTTATTTTATCTTTATTCTAAACGGGAATAAAGAATTCTTTATCCCGCCCGTTGATCACTGGAGTCATCATTTATAAAAATGTGGTACTTAAATATTTTTACAAAACTATTTCCTAATGGTTGATTCAGTGCATTTTTTTTTGATACTATTCTGAAGGGCAAAAAGTTAAGTGACGATAAATAGTTTGAATAGACTGGATTTTTATTCGATTCGAAAAACAAACATATACACAATATGTTTTTACATGGATAATCAATCTATACGATTAAATATAAATATGCACTACTCACTTTTATGCTCTGCTCTTGATGCTTATAAAATACTATTTTAATCAATCGTTATAGATTAGATACTTTTTTCTTTCTATTCTTTCTTTTCTTTTTCTTACGGTCGATATTACTAATTATAACAGTATTTTTTTTTCTTTTGAAACATCAAAAATTGCTTTTTGTTGAAATTTTTATTTCATATATTTTTTACATTATTGATAACAATAATATCTGTGGAATTGAATGAAACAAAAATTATTTATGTTGTTATAATTCGATTAAAATTATGTGAATATTCTTTTCTTTTCGTGTTAGACTATTACCTGTACTACTCACGTTGTTCTTTATCTTTTCTCCTTGTTTTTGATTTTCACTGTACAATAAATTGATCAATAAGCATACGTAATATACTTTTTCGGCTTATTTTTTTTCTCTTCGTTATTTTTAATTATAATCATGTTTTTTTTCAAGCCTTGAATGATATTTTCATTGAAATGCTTACCTCCCAATTTATTTCTAATTAATTGATATAATTGAGAAAGACAATATCTGTTAAATCAAACGAATCAAAAAAATCATTTATATTCTTTTTATTATACTACTTGTATAGAAGAATCTTTCTCTTTGTATATACCGTTCTATTGGATGTCACTTCAAGGTATTATTACACACGTTTTTTTATCGTTCCTTCTCACTATTGAATGTAATAATATAATAATTTGATCAATGATTGCAGATTATATACTTTTTTTTTGCACATTATTTATAAATATATATCTATCTCCTTTCTCTTACAATAGTCTTTTTTTTGATACTGAACTATACAAATTTAATTAATAATAATTTGAAAAACAATATGTCTATATCAAACAGGATTCGACTTTTGAACTATCAATAAACAAAAAAAATTAGAGATACTTGATTTTGTTATTGAATATTAAGAATGAATATATTCTTTTGTAATTAAAAAAATATTTTCTTATTTTACCAAGAAGAATTAAAAACAAATTGACTTTTATATTAACTTGTTAGAATCAATATATGAATAAATCGAACAATACATTAAATGTTGGATCAAACGAAAAAACTATTGTTAAATATAGTCATAATATTAAGTAAGTTTAAAAGGACGATTCTTATTGACATATTTAATATCGTACGAAATTTTATTTTTGATTGGAAATTGTACAACCAAGTAAAGTTCAGTTTAATACAACTTTAAATGTAATCCTATACACAATAACAATTCATTGATAACTAAATCGATTAGTAATTTTGACCATAATATTAGCATTTAAAATAGATAAATTTCAAAATACTTATATTAATCAAGATCTATTTTCATTACGAGAATATACATAAATGATTTATATTCATGTTTTATGTTTACAGTAACCTTCCTATTGAAGTTCTATATATATAAGAACTAGAAAAAAGTTCTCTTTTGATGCATTGAACCAATGTTTCGTATTTTTTTCCATTAAGAAAATCGATGCACTTAAAATTAATATTTTGAATAAACTATTTAAGGATGGATGAGTGTACGTGTTAATATACGTTTCGTTTTCACATACTATATTTATATCTCGTTAAAAACTTAACCGTTTGAATTTATGAGTTTCGTGACATTACTCCTCTTTACTAAAAAAAATTCATTCTATGTAAAGAAGGTGATCATAAAGCTGTTGCACTTTGGCATTTTTTAAAAGTATTTCTCACCAGTGGCGTAGCCAGGGTAAGGTAAATGTGCAATTAACCATTTCCTTTGGAGATTTACCTATTGTAATTTCTATCAATAAGCTACTGGCCATTGAAATTTTACTTTTGAAAATTTTTTTCTTTTGTTTGAAGTAGACATGCGCTGTTTGCTTGTTCGTTCTGTGAAGAATTAAGAAAAGAAGAAAAGAATCGCTTCTTGTATTTTATGTCATCAGGAAGACGCTAATCACGTAAAGAAAGAGAAGATAAACAAGAATACAGAGCAAGCCTGTATCAGCAGCTTCTGCTGAGTGAAGTTTAAGTCAATAATCAGAAACTAAAAGTTATTATCGATCTACAATGAAACAAAATAGACTAAATGAATTTGTTGCTAGTTACATTCATAAAGATCTCGATATAAATCCAGATGAAATTATATACACAAACGAATTCTGGTCGTTCTGATTTACGTGTTTGAATTTGAAACATACATGTTAGAAACAGAGACACTAAAAATATATACATAACTATAACTTAAGATCTGAGTTTAAAATAGTCTATTAACATTCAACTGATTATTTCAAATCAGTTTATTTATATATCCACTCTACTGGTTGATGAAAATAATATTTTACATTCAGTCACGTTTGCAGTACAACGTTTTTTTTACCTCAATACATATTCTAAAATAAAAGTGCTTTTAAATTCATCCAGAGTTTGTTGCAAATATTAATACATGTGATTCATAAAGAGAAATATTTAAACCGCGAGAAACTAACGAAAATTATTTATATGAAAATATTAATGACCTTGAGATTTATTTTATATTTTTATAATTGATCGTGGAATGAATTAACAACGTTCTTGTATGTCTATTTTTAAGAATGATCGAAAATTTCAATATAAAATGACATAAATTTTACTTTTCATTTTATTTTATATACAAAAAAACAATCGATTAATCTTGTATAAATTTATTTATAGAAAGAAAACTACAAAATTTTATCATTTAATATTTAAAAAATGTCAAAAAAGAATAATATTCTTGCGCTTGATTATAAAGGCTGAGATAAAGAAGCTTATCGGATCATTTTGAGTCAGGCTAAAGTATAAAATAATTATTATGATCATATTTGAGGAAAAAATTCATAGGTTATTTACATTATGATGGATGGTAACATGAATTTCACCTTTTGAACGGAGACCCAATAAAGCTGGTAATTTGACCCATTCATCAAAATCACCTTTTCCAAAGTCATGTTTTTTCAAATTAATTTTTGCTGAACCAATTGCATCTTTACCTACTGCATCATCATCATATACACATAGATGTAAATCATCATGGTTTCTGTCCAAATTGCTTAAATAAAAGATAAAAATGAATACATTGAAACTAATGATATGATAAATAAACTTACAAATTAAATTTTTCATTCCATTGTGGATCATTGTTATTCTTAATAGTTTTTGTTCGTTGTTTATAGTCTTTATCCAAATAAACTTCAACAAAAGCATCATTTTTACCGACAATGTCTTCATCTTTAAGATGACGAGCTTCGACGATAGTTACTTCTAAAGTTCCGTGTGAGCCACTCATTTTGATTCGATTTTTTTTTTGTTGCAAATAGATTAATAAATGAAAAAAAGAAATGAATTTGTGATGCTTTTATACTACCTTTTTTTACTCAAAAATCAGAAAAAAAATTATTCATGTCTTCCTTTTCTTTTCTGCGTATAATAACATTAAGTTGATGTTGTTATGGTAAAAGAAAAAAAATGATGAAGAAATGTCTTGTTCTTATAGAGTTTTATTTACATAAATGTGGACAAAAAATTCATACAATTGCAGGAAGAAAAAGTTTAAAAATAAATTCATCAGTAGAGTGGTGTAGGTCGATAAGTATTTTATAAAATTTCATCCTTAAAAGACAAAAAAAAATTATTTATACATGAAAAGAACAACAGCAAACATTCCAGAATAGCAATGTTTATTTGAAACGAAATTTAATCGTTCGAGAATCATATGATTAAGGACGACATTACTTTAAAGCTTCATTGTGTATTTATGATGAGATGTGAAGTTCGAGTAAAGAGCCAATCTTTGAATAAAATTTATATACGTATGAGTAGATACAAATGTTTATTGACGAATGTAAAAGTATTGGCTAGAGGTATTATACTGATACTATTACTTTCACATCCTCTTACTTGATAAGTAGTTTCTAAATAATTTTATTGAATTTACAATTGAATACTCCATCGATTAGTAATAAATTCAATAGGAATTGCTGTATCTTTGATTCTTACTCATATAAATCAGAATTCACTATAAACAGTTGATAATAATCTTTCAATCAAAGATCTCTTATTTATCTCAGATAAGTGTCTGAATTTCATTGATTATTAAAACTATAGTTGTGGATGACTAGTACACGTATGAAAATATCTCGATTACATGTTATATGAGACAAATTTTAATGAGTTTTGATAGTTATAATTAATTTCTAATATCAATCTGATGACAAATCAAATAATAGTGAATTATATTATAAAGCTTAAAAAAATGAATTAAAAGTAAAATAATCAAAGTTTTCGACTTGTTCAGGAATTATGGACGATAGTAGCAATATTATATATGACGTTAATTATTATTACTCAGGGAGGTAAGAAAATGCGTTTAGATGTACATAATTCTAATGTTGTAAAACTGTCATAAAAAATGCTGAATTATTCTTTTTGTCTAAATGAAACTTGTACAGTAAATAGCGAAATAAACTCCGTTTTTTTCGTTTGATATTTGGCATTAGCACTTTTCAGATATGGATAATCAATTATATCCACCTCCTGCTTGTCAATGAATCGATTCTATTTAATTATAATTAAATTAACGTTCGATTAATATCTATCTATCTATTTATTATTCGAAAACGTTCCGCAGAATTTTTTTACTTTCTATATTTTACATTAAGATTAATTGTACATTTTCCTGTTCACATATTCTCAAATATATTCAAACGAGGACAAGTGTAGGTATAGGTGTCGGTATTGGTTTCTTCTTTAACCACACCTACCCTCAAGATGGTTGTTTACATAATGTGAATTTGATGCAGACTCCTCTAAAAACTACCATAGTGGTTGAAGTATCAATTTTCGTACGTTCAATATGAAATTGAAAATATGCTGGAACGATTTATTTTTTAAATTCAAATGAAAAAGCGATAAAACATATTATATTTCATTAAAAGATTTTGGCTTGTGTACTTTTTAAAGAAAATCGAGATAGATAGTATCATTATACCATATCGACATAGAGTTTTCCAGCGGGTCCTCCTGTTTTATAGTACCAAAATGAAATTTTGTAAATATTGCCAACTACTGCCGAAAATGATTGACCAAGAAAATTGAAACCAGTCTGACAATGACTTGTATAACAGTTATTACCAGAATTATTGTGGCAGCCAGAAGTTATAATTTGGCCTCCATCGCCACCACCCACACACGAAGATGTACACCACATTACCCAATCGATCGGGCTTGATGTTGACATTTCAAAGCTAGGATTGTTAAGCAATTGAATTGTCGGTTGACTGATGGCAACTACAGAGACATCATCCAGATAAACAGTTTCTGCTGCTGGACCACCCTGAACAGCAAATTGAAGGACAGGTGCTAGTACCGTTGCTGTATAATTATGCGAATAATAAGTCCATCCGATTGATCCACTAACAGAAAGTAATGAGCCGACACCCTGCCCAGTACACGATGTTGCTAGAATAGAATCGATACATAAAATAAACTCACAAAACAGCATAGCTACTCACTGGTTGTTGTGACAGTCGATGTCGTCGTGCTTGTAGTTGTAGTTGTAGTTGCTACAAACAATCAAGTAAATTAGAGTTTTTGTATTTTTATGAGAGAAAAAAATTCTGTATTAATAATATTGTTTTTTTCAAACAGACTGATATTTATTGAAAAAAAAAAGAATTTCACTATAAGATACTTTCCTTAATGAATACATTCTTTCTATAACGATTTTGATCCTCTTCTTATTATTTCTTCTCATCTTATGTACCGCTCTTATTTCATAGGGTGTGGGTTTGAGTGAAAAGTGAAGATTTATCTACACACCCACACCCACTTTTGTCCTATATATATATAATTCTATCGAAAACTTCAGAGTATCGATGAATGGGGGTAATGGTATTAAAATCTCTTTCGCTCACACCAACAACCTCAAATAGTATTTAAACTCTATCATGCCTGTTACTCACTGATAACGCTTCTGTTTCTGAAGTTGAACACCTTTGTATTGAATATAATAGGCACCACCTGTAATTGTCCTTCATTTAATTGTACTGAGTATAATGAACATGTTTGATTGATGGCAGAATAAGTTGCCGTCATACACAATGTATTGTTGTAGCATTCGCAAAGACAAGCACTTTCTGAATTAATCGAGACGAAGTTAGCAAACATGGTGCTTGGATCGAATGGATTAAATCGAGCATAATTGTATACACTGACAGGAACTGTCATTGATACTAATAGATTGAAAGAAAAAAAAAGAAGATGCTCTACTCTCCACAACATTTTACTGAATGATTTGAGCGTTGATGTTCCATTTTCTTTTTATATTTATTTATTTAATAGTTTTATACTCTATGACAAGAAAAGAGACTGATAAAGACAGTACTTCATATCTTAATGGAACAACAAAAGAGAAGCGTATTCTAAACTAATTGCTATTAGTAGTTTTGCCTCTTAAAATATACTTTAATTAAAAGTAGTATTCGTTTCATTTATCACTTTGATGAATCGTTAAACAGGAGGCCCGCCTGTGACGATTTCTAATATAGTAGGCACTTCTTGAGAGCTGTTGTGTATATATTTTTTTTATATATCATGAATCGTACTATACTGCGTTTTCATCATCACTTATATAAGTGAATTACGCTCGTATTGTATCGTTTAATGTAAAAAATACCACAAAAAAAATAGAAATGCATATAAAACAAGTTTATGCGGTGCATTTGATATAACTTTATTAGTCTTGCCTAAATTAAATATTTTCTCGATTGTTAACTTTTTCATTTCAGCAAAGGATTGAATTCTATTTAAAAAAATGCATACTTTCTAAGGTTTCTTGATATAATAAAATACTATAGATATCCAATCAGTCTTAAGAAGTAATTGAATTTCTTAGACTTCGTTACTTGGATTTCAGGATATGAAAATTAGAATAATATTCGTCGGCGTCAGTAGAATCTTTCAATAGAATATTCTGTAATGGTAATCAATGAGACAAATGAATAAAAAGAATGTTTTATAAAACTGTTTGCAATCAGTATCGCGAACCAAATGTGATATTCTTAAAGCATTTTCATGTTTAGATATTTTTGTAACTGTATTCAACAATTCATGTGTATGGTAAGATGTATATTTATAAAACAATATTGTTTAGTCTTCTGTTTAACAATAAATTATACAGAAAAAAAAACAAATGAAAAAATCAAATGATGTTATTTTAGCCGAGCTTCGATCGAAATTCAGCCATAGAGAAGTTAGGATCTATTTTGCGGCCTTTGGGTACCGCTGCTTCTTTGTGTCCTATGACACGAGCTGTAGCTACACCATAAGCTTTTTGAAGAGCTTTCACACCTTTTATATAACTCTGGTATTGTACTTCTGGCCAGTTTGCATGACCACTGTCGGTGGCTGGTAAACCAGTTCCTTCAGCTTCGATACCAATTGCATTGCTGTTGCCATAGATAGAATCATCTATGGTGCTGCCAGCGTGATAACAACGACCTGCTGCAATGACCCACCAGGTTCCAGAACGGCCCAGTCCAAGCTGTGCAAGGGGGCCGGCCAGACTACCTGTACCATCTCGTACTACTCCTAAAGAAGGAAAGTCGCCTGTTGCTGGACCTGCCGTATGATGAACAAGTATTCCTTTCACTGAAGCCATGACCCCATGTCCACGAGTCTTCCATCCAGCAACTTCAACAACATTGACACCGGCACTACGAAGTATATCAGCCAAACCAGTGAGCATAGTATTAGTTGGTTTACTGGGTGCAGGACCGGTAGATCCTCCTCCTCCATTTCCTCCCTTACAACATTTAATATTCGCAGCGCCAGGACAAATACCAGCACCGGGTGTTCCACCACTTTTTCTACAGGCTGCTTCATCTATGCATCTTGGACTAAAAACATACGAGTAAGTCTCAGAAATGACAATAATAAACATCTTACCAGGTACAGCATTGAATGTGGGCGGCACCAGTACAATGACCTGCTTGAGACGCACCTCCCAAGTTGGTACAGACACCCTTATCTATACACGCGTTTGTAGACCAACATGCTGCACTAGTTGCACGCAAATGAACAACAGCAAGACAAAACACCATAATAAAAACTTTGGTACTAAGCATCTTGTGATCACTGCTGAAAGTAAATGACGACAAATGAACAATCTTGACCTAAATAAATGAAGTCAATTTAGTAAGCGATAATATTCAACAAAAAAAGTACAATGCATTTATAGAAATACTTACTTCGATTCTTGTGATGAATATGTAGCCCAGCATCAATCGTATATATACATTGCAATATGAAAAACAAAGGATTAATTTTAAGCTTTATTATAAAACAATTCGATCAAGAGAAGCAACTCTGCCAAAACAGTTATATTTACCTTTTTGTCTTTATTAAAAGTATTCTCCACCAATACCATATTAATTGCTTCATACGAGAAGGATTAGTACAGTAGAAGATGCCACGCCTACATTTTCAATTACTGATTTAATGAAATCGAACAGTTATTCACAGACAACGACTTATTCGTGTTGCCACAGCATTCTTCAAAGTAATTAATCGATTTTTCTTTTTCTCATCCCATCGGATCACATTGAATTATCATTTAACACGCTGAATATAATTTAATACTTAATGCTAGTACATGCCTCTATTTGATGGCACGGGTGCAAACTTCTTTTAGTCCTAGTTGCATATTCTCATAGTTAAATGAATGCATAGTGTTGGTCGTGCTGATAGATTTGATCTAAATAAAACAAAAAAAATTATTTTTAATCAAATAATACGTATTGTTAATTATGTCGATAAATTTGATCCATGTGAAAAAATAGAACTGAAAACAATATGTAACGAATGTTAATACTTTAATGCTTACTGTTCTGGATGCTGATACAATAAATCTAAATATAAAACAAAATAATTTAATGATTACTTTCATTACACCGTTGGAATTAATCTAAATGAAAAAAAAACTATTTCTAACAAATTCATTCTTACTGTAGTTGGACTAGTTAAAATCAATCGAAAATAATAAAAAGAGAAATTGTTTAAAATAGATCTCAATAAAGAAAGTGAATCATTTATTCAAATTATACTTCAATTTCAATGCATTCTAATCTATTTCGAGAGAACATATTTTTTTCGTTTTCTCAAACGGAGATTTATTTTAATTATCTTAGTAAAAAAATATCTTCACATCGTTTTTCATCTTATCGAATCTAATGATTTCCGACTGTGAAATAAACGATACATTGTTCATATCTATCCATAAGTTTTTTTTACTGAGTACTGCAATAAATACCAATGATGCTCTTGATGAAATAGAAACGGATGCGGGTGTCCTATTCTATCCATAACCACCTCAATATTTTCTTTTTGTTCAACAATGACATACTAAACAACGAAAGAAAAGACTATAGGGAGAGAACGAAAATTAGATCATTATATATATATAAATGCGGACGTCCTTAGCAATACATATTATAGAATTGTATGCCGAAGAATTAAAAGTACATTTTTGTTTTGAACAAATTAATAGAATATAATTTTTTTGGATAAACTAAATTTTATTCAATTCTTAATGCAGTTATTGCATTAACGTGTTTAAATATAAACAAGCTAAGATACAATTACATAAGAAGTAATTAATTCAAAAACTCTTGTGTAAAAAGAAGAAAGAAAAAAAATGAATTTATATGACTTGTCATTAGTAAAACATAACTGTTAAAGTATGAAATGAATAAAAAAAGTGCGTAGAACGAAAAATAAAAAAATTAATCTTTTATAAATGACCATATTTCATATATGCAGTACAAATTAAGATCGTATTTGAATCATTTATTTTACCTTTCACTTTCTATTTATATGATGCATATTTTAATTTTATAATAAAACGAAAATACTTAGATATCAATGATGATCATCCTCATGACTATACGTTCCTGGTACTGACGATCTCTTTGATATTTTATCGATGTATAATTAACAAGTGCTAAATGGTCGACAATCTTATGAAATGCTACGAATATTATTTTACTTGATCATGCATAAAATACAATGGTGTTGATTATTCGAAAGAAAAAAAATGGATTTTTAAAGTCAAGTTTCATATTTTTTATTCTTGTACCTTTTATATATTACATTAGTTTTCATCATCAGTCATTGAACACTCCACGAAATGAAACATCTTTAAATCTATATGAATATAACGAATTACCTATACAATGGAATAATCATCCACGAGGTGTAATTGTTACACTTATGCGTAGTACTAATCATTCGATATTTCGTATTATCAATATGATTCATTCTATCGTGCTATTTCATTCAACTAATGATCAATTTCAATATCCTTTTCTTATCTTTCATGATCAAAATTTTACTTTAAGTATGCGTCAATATATTTTATCATGTGTAAATAATCATAAGAAAAAATTAAATATTTTATTTATTCGTCTTAATTTTCTAACAGAAGCTCAATTACCTGATAAATTTATTAGAAGAAGAAAACTTGGTTATCATCAAATGTGTCGATTTTGGTCGTATGATGTTTTTTATCATCCAGCAATAGTTAAATCGAATTATGATTATTTAATGAGAATGGATGATGATTCATATTTTTGGAATAAAACTAAAATAGATCTTTTTCACTATATCGATGAAAAAAAACTGGATTATATTTATCGATCATGGTATGATGAAGATAATCAAGCATTATTTCCGATTGAAAAACAATTTTTCAATCGAAAAAAATCTCGAACAAATTGTATTTATAATAATTTTTTTATTATTCGATTACAATGGTTGTACAAATCCGAAAGAGTATTACGTTTTTTACATGAATTAATTCGAGATGATTTATTACTTCGAGAATATATTGGTGATGGATGTATTCATGCAGCTATGCTTGACATCGATCGAGATGTTAAAACAGAACAATTAAAACAGCTTCCTTACGGGCATAATCATCATATAATGTTGATCAATCGTGAAGGTCCTTATTTTAATCCTTCAATGAATTTTTCTCAAGCACTGACAAACTCATGTAATCAATTAATATTTATTAGTGATAATACGACTGAAATAAAACGAATTAAAATATAAATTTCTTGAATAAGACATTCACATCCACACCCTATTTTCTTTAGATCTATATAAATACTGAATATATCTCTACTATTGAGAATAAACTTCGCTCATTTGCTCGAGCCATAAGCAAAATATTTTATTTTTATTTGGTAAGATAACTTTTTGTATGTATGTTATCAAAAAGGTAAGGAGAAGAAGAAAAACAACTACTGATAAAGCCGACGTATACTTTTTTTCTTTTTCTTTCAAGCACATGCTCTTTCTACGGCTCGATAATAGTTACATTACAAAAATGAAAAAGAAAAGAGAGTGAGACGAAATGGGCTTTGTTTTTTTTTGTTTTACGGATTATTTTTTATACATTCAGGTGTCTTTCATCGTACTATTTTTTTTAGACTTGAAGTATCATGCCTAAAACTATTCTTGTCACAGGTGCAAGTTCTTTTATTGGTGGATGGATCGTTAAATATCTCCTTGAAAAAGGATATAATGTTCGTGGAACAGTTCGATCTCAAGCAAAAGAAGCACAAGTTCTCGATGGTATTTCAAACGAGCATCGAAGTCAAATTTCATTCGTATATATTGCTGATATTACTACTGATTCGTTTGATGAAGCTGTTCAAGGTATTGATGGTATCATTCATGTTGCTTCACCATTTCATTTTAAAGTAAATGATCCAGAAAAAGATATGATTTTACCAGCAATCAATGGAACAGTAAGAATCTTACAGGCTGCTCATGAATATAATCAAAAAAATCAAAATCAAATTAAACGAATAGTTATTACATCATCATTTGCTTCAATTTTTGATCCAAGCCTAGGATTTCGTCCTGGTTATTCGTATACTGAAAAAGATTGGTGTCCATTAACTTATGAACAAGGTGCTGCTGCAAAAAATGATCCACTCACAGTTTATCGTGTATCGAAAGTATGTGCTGAACGTGCTGCATGGGATTTCGTTGAAAAAGAAAAACCAGCATTTACAATTGCAACTATATGTGAACCAATGGTTTTTGGTCCATCTGTTAATGGTTTTAAATCATCAGATGATATACATACGTCTAATGGTATGATATGGTCGGTGGTTACTAGTGGTAAAGATGCTAAAGTTCCAGAAATACGTACACCATGGCAAGTTGATGTAAGAGATGTTGCACGTACACATATAGCTGCTTTAGAACAAATGACAGACACAAATGAACGTTATCTTATAGCAGCAGAAACTTGGAGTCATCAGAGAGCAATCGATATTATTCATGAAAGTACTACCATTCCAACAAGTATCAAGGATACAACACCAATTGGCACAAAAGGTCAACGATTATCGGATCATTTTGATATCGATAGTTCGAAAGCACAAAAAGAATTGGGTATTACATTTATACCTTTTGAAAAAACTGTTGAAGATTTAACATTACAATTTGCTCAATTGCAAGAAAAAGTACAACATCATTGATTGAAATTTAATAATTTTTGAACTAAATTTTATTTTTTATTTCTGTAGTAAAAAAAAACTTGATTTTAGTTCTAATTATTCAAAATAAAAATACATATTTAGCATTTCTTAATCATAACACAATATAGTTGTCCGAATACTAACGTTGAAGCTTATACTTTATATAAACATCATTATCTGTCTATCTCCGTGACCGAGGTCATCCATCGAGCATGAACTTTTGCCCTTTATCTTGATCTATTTTCGCTCTCGCTTGTTTCTGCTCTGTATTGATTCACTTTTAGAATAAATCGTGAACACGATAGTTGTTCCGTTATAATTAACGCAAACGATCATTAGTTATTGAATAAAAGATTATTATATAGAACATATATTATGATTTCACCATAGTCTAGCAAGATCTTTCTTTCTTTCTTTCTCTGTATGTATGCAAGAACTACTGTAATTTAGAAGAAAAAAATTGTCTGAAGCAAAGTGAGTCATTAAATACACACGTATTACCTCCACACAACATCTATATATTCCGATGTAAAAAAAGAGGAAGAGGAAAAAAAATTCTTTCACAATCAGTTTGTAAAACGTGCACATAATACATTTTTGTTTTTCTCTTTAATAGAAATTGTTACACGCTTTTAACTTTTTTGATGGAAAAAATGAATAATGAAGAGACAAATCTTGTTCATTTATGTCCGAAATATTCGGGCGGATGTGAACATACGCCATTAACAAATGATGATCTTTTAAAACTTACGGATCAACAAGGACAATTGATTTATGGACCTAGTTTATTCGCACTTCAATATCGAGTTCTTCCTTGTACGATGAGTGAATCACAAGGAAATTCTAATGAATATGGTGATACTTATACGTACAATATGTACGGTAGATTCTCGGCTTTAAATCGAGGACGACGATGGAATGGAAAACGTAAACAAGGAGGCATGTATCATACTACAAGGTTTGTTAATTATTTTCTAGCTTTATTATATATAAATTATTGAATTTTACTTTCTAATTTTAGTGTAATACATTTTCTTATCAATGAATACAAAGTAGATCCAGATACATTTCTTTATAGTTCGAGTTATGATATCTCGGATAATGATTCTCTTATGACCGATGTTTATATCAACTTAGGCAATTATTTTTCAGGTATATATTATTTCTTTAGGATCACATATATAACACAAAAACTTCAATTCTAAGAATTTTCAAATAAATAAATATACTATTTGCATTTTAGTACAATTTTCTGGCGGTGTTCTAAGTCCTACTAATGTTGACAATCCTAATAATCTAAAGTCTGATCAAGAAGACAATGTTTTCAACTGTTTTTCCGTCATTCAGGTAAAAAGTAGATCCTAGTATTATAATTCTCTTTTTTCTTCTATGCAGATATTTCATATACCACAAAAAGCGAAAGAAGCTCGAATGTTATTGCAACAATTATCTAAATTCAAATTATATCCAGTAACTGAAGCTACTCTTCAAATGGTTTGTCATGATACACAACATGGTTTCTATACATCATCGATTCGAATGAAAAAGCCTCACATTACCGATCTTAAACTTCATTATGGAGATGATTTTCCGGATATTCATGAAGAACTTCTCGAAACATTACAAGAAAAAGATTCAACCGGTATTACATTACTTCATGGTCCTCCTGGTACTGGCAAGACTTATTATCTTCGTTATTTAATTAATGAAATTCAAGATAAAAGTTTAATTTATGTTCCACCTGATTTAGTCAATGTAAGTTAATTCATACATTATACAATTACATTTATTCTATCAATCTAAAATATGTTTTGTAGGATATGACAAAACCTGGTTTCTTGCCATTTCTCATGCAACATCCGAATTCAATACTTATTGTTGAAGATGCTGAAAATATTATTCGTGATCGTCAACAAGATAGTTACTTGCCTAACCAAGCCGTTGCAAATTTACTCAATCTTTCTGATGGTCTACTTGGTGATGCTATGCATCAACAAATTATCTGTACGTTTAATTGTGATGTCAAAGGTATCGATCCTGCTCTCTTACGTGATGGACGTCTAGTAATCGAACATAAATTTGATAAATTAAGTGTACAGAATGCTCGTCGTTTATGTATTGAATTAGGTATACCAAATAATGGCGAGGATATTCATGAATCGACTACTATAGCTGAAATTTATACGCGAAAGAATACTGTAGAAGCAACTTCTGCAAATGATCTTGAGAATGGCATAACATTAAGAGAAAAACGAAGATTGAATAAAAAGAAACAGAAACAACAATCACATTTGGGCTTCTATTCTTAATTATATATTTTTTTTTAATTTAGAAAAATATAAATAAATAAAATATATAGTTGGAGTCTTTTCTTTTGTTATTGAAAATTGAATTTTTCAAGACATATCAATTTACATTTCAATAAAATGAGACATAAATACAAGAGATGTCAGTTAGATGCAACGTATTCTCTTGATATAAACATATCATTTTTCTTTCACATACTACTATTGATTTAATAGAATAAAATCTACTTATATTATATATTAAATACAACTCACAGATAAACAAATGAATTATTTGTGATGCTGTATTTGCCTTTTTATTTCTTATTAAATCTTTTCAAAATTTATTATTCAAATATTGTAAAATATTTAATACACCTGAATAGATTGAATCATTATCTTTATTCAAAAAATTTATTTTAATGAAAATTGATCTTTCGGAATTCTAACGACTTGTCATTCGTGTGGGTGGGCGTGGGTGTGGGTGTGCGTGTGCTGGTAGTAGCTTGATGTCATTCACACCCACACCCACACCCACACCCACCCACACCTTCAAAGTGTTCTTCAATATATGAATACACAACAACAGTTGAATATCGTCGAACAATTCATAGCAACTACAGGTGATCTATCAATTTACGACCGCGCTTTTCTGTCCATCGAGAAGATTCGAGCTAATATTTCATAGATGAATACTGCTGAACAAGACAGTTGTGCATAGCTCAATAATTATGTTACAGATTAGAAGGGTACAAAATTAATAAAACTACAAAAAGAGTATAAATCAAATAAGAAAATTAAAAAAAAATCTAGGCTTCATTAATGGGAGTGTGAGATAATATTTTTTTAATTCTCTATGATCCTTACCTTCTTGAGGGTAAATAAAATGAATATTACATTTATATATGATTTATTATAAAGAAAAGCATAGAAATATGAGAACTAATTAATAAGTTTATTTATTTAATGAACAATTACATGTTTTCTTCAGATTCCATTTACGAATTGCATGGTTCGATATTGTTCTCAGATTCAATTCGATTATTTATGGAACAACACCAATATTTGCATCGTTGCCAACATTTTTTTACTAGAACAATTTCTACTTGACGACGAAAACGTGATGAGAATATTATAAAAATATAAGAGCTGATCTAAATGAAAGCAAAAACTTACAAATATGAATTAGAGAAGAAAATAATTTTACCATATAATTTATATTGTTGATAGAAAGAAGAATTGTTTGAAGCAATCTACCAATTGCATATGCCATAGGCATACTTCGTGATGGAGGAAAATTAGTCGCATAGATACGATAAGCATTATAAGATGATACCAAACAAACAAAGGCTATCACACGCATAAGAACCATTGCTGTGATTTGTTTGTCTAGTTTACGACGAACAATTGCTAATTGTCGTCGAACTATATGACGGACATTACGATAAGCTAAGATACTAGACGATGATGCAATTACAATAGGTAGGAGACCAACTAAAACTGGATAAAAGAAATATGTTGAATACTGAACCCATGTATGATCCGATATGACACATCCAAATGTTGGCTGAATATCATAAGAAGAGCCAAGTGCAATGCTATGAATGATTGCAAAACAAACGAATATAAACGTAACATATCGACCTAGTTTCAATGTACACATTTGTCTTAGATTGTAACGATGATTAGTCGAAAAGAATTGATCAACCGCAGAAAAAGATATCATATAAAGAGTAGTGAGCGCACATATTTGTGCTAATATAAATCTGAATTTACACCAAATTGAAGAACGTCCTGTTGCATCATCTCCATATATAGATGTTAAAATAGTCAAAGTGATAGATAAAAACTGATAAATGAAGTTAGAAATTGATTCAATAGTTATATAGAAGGCACATCGATTAGTTCGAAATAGTTTCAATTGAGTAAAAACGAGCAGATTCAAGGCATTACCAATAACTTCAAAACTAAATGTAATAAAGCCACTATAAATCGAGTATTGTGTTGCAAATTGGAGAATTCCATCAGATACTGATGATGATGATGATGACATGATACTTTATTCAAAATGACATATTCTTTATTATTTATGTTTTTCTTCTTTTTCTGAAAAAGATCTAAAATATAATATAAAAAAATATATTAATCTTTTTCTTGTCACTTATTATTTATAAAACATCTTAGCGGAAATTACTGTCACAATTGATCATAAAAGTCTATAATTACTAGTATGAGACTGTTTCTTTTTTGATACAAAATATATTGTATCTATTAAATGATATATTCATTTCGAATATAGAGTTAAAATCTAATAAAAGAATACTTGAATTTCTCATTAAAGCTATTTGTAACTTGTATAAAAGAAAAAAAAAGATGTCTTTCTCTGGACTGTCTACACATAAATAATAAAAAGAGAATTTATGTTAATATTTGATATCAAACAAATATTTCATTAAACTATTTCATTAAATAATAATGCATTCATTGAATACATATTCTAATTCATCTACACAATACATTGCCAGTAGCCTTTTAAGATATTAAATTTCATTTTCTTCACAATAAAGATTACGAATATGTCTTGAAATCCGGAGAATAAAAAATCCGGAAAATTTCTGATATCGTTCTAACAGAAGAGAATGATAATATTCTTCCATAAATGTTTATGGTTGTCTACGTCAATCATGATTATCGTCTATCGAGTGGCATTCTACTTTATTGTGCTATGCTATTCTATTAGCAAATATACACAGACGTGCACCTCGAGAGTATGGGTGTTGTGTCCATGCTTTATCCACACCCACACCTTCTAACTAAAGTCAATACTCTTACCAATAGGAATGTGACAGTTTCAGTTCGAAAGAACTGAACCTGAGCTTTCACAGTCCTACTTGTCAAACATTTCGAGAGCGATGAGTCGATCGCGATGAATATCTTGTGGGATTTTCTGTATTGGTGACTACTAAAAAGTGAACCACATCACTTCTCTTCAAATCAAATGATTTCTCTTCTTTCTTGTACATGGTTCTTTGTTAAATAAACTGTTAAATCTTTTTCCAAAAATTTTCCGGATTTTTTCTTCCGAATTTTGGCACAATACCGAATCTGTCAATTGCTTTTTATTAAGTAAAATCATTGATTCGATTAGAAGTTAAAAATTTTGTTTTAAACATACATTTCATAATTGTATTTATTTAAAAATTATATTTTGTTCTTATAATGATAAGAATATTAAATTACAAAAATATATTTAAACACAAACTTCATTTAATACAGACATATACAACAATTAAGTTTTTACGAAAAAAGGAATAGTTCAATTATGTACATATCACTCTGTATATTGCCATGTTTTACATCATTCGTTTTAATTTCTAGTTTGTGTAAATGGATTAACCATTGATACATTCATTTGTTGTCTTATATAACGACGAAATAAATTGTTCAAACCACCAACAAATGCTTTTCGGAATACACGAGATGTTAATATTGTAATATAAAATGCTTTGACATTATTTAAGTAATAAAGGTTAGTACTAAGACTAAGAAGAAAGAAAATAATCGATAAATCTACAGGAGTTTCCGTGTAAATTGGAGCAAATGTAAAATACGTAAACATTATAATCCATTGTAATGCAATGAAACTTGTTATTAGAATTTGTGCAAATATAGTTACAATAAATTGATTTCGAAGATTTTGTCCACGTGTTCTGGTTACTTCACCCTAAAATAGAATAGAATTGCATGAATGGAAAAACTATTAATTCAGTTACTTACCACTCGTCCACGACTTCGGCGAACATTTCGATAAGTAAGTAAAACAAATATTATCATTATTATTGGTGAAATTAAACCAATAAGAACAATATATGAAATACTTGTTACCATCGGTTGTATTGATATACATAAATATCCATACATAAGATCATAATTGATAGGAACATACAATGAAAAAAGACCACTGGTGAGAACAGTCAGACCAATCATCCATGGTACTATTCGAAGTTGAGTTATTCGACGAATAGATGATGTATGATCACATGTTATGGCAAATCGGTCAATAATAGCCGTGCATAGAAAATTTATTGATAAATGTGGCAAAAACACCACGATAAAGATATAGAATTTGCAAAGAGCAGATGATGTAGACCATGGTAGTGTAAATCCGAATTGCCATGCAAGGTAACTTGGAAATGAATTAATACAGAGATCAATAATATCAATGAATGAACCACAAAGTGAATAAATACAACAAGTATTTGAACGAAGTTGAGGTTGAAGATATGTAAAAACATTACCAATAAATCCAATGAGACCAAAGATTAAAAAGATTAATGGTAAATAAATAAGAATATTTTGTGATATAAAATTAAGATTGTCACTTAATGACTTTGATGTTTGTGTAATATCGCCTTTAGTTGTAATGTTATTGTCAATCATTTTAGGGATTTGTTTGTAGAATAAAGATATTTGGTCGGAATACATTAGTATATGAAATGAAGAATGTATGTATGTGGAATTTCTTTCTTTTTTTTCTGTAACTATAAACTGAGTGAAAAGCGGGTATATATATTTGATGATTTGCACTTATAATTATTCTGTCTTTTTATAGAAAGTTCTCTGTAGGTCATGTGAGAACTATTTCTGCTACAAAGAATATATACATGCTGAGTTTTTTTGCAAGAAATTTAAAACATGAGAATTTTCTTTTTAGTCATTAAGAAGGAAATGACAACATAGATATACATTGTCGAATGCTCTAGAAAATGTCACGCGTTCTTTTGCTTGTACAATTATTTTGACATTAATAATCATTATTTATCACCTAATTACATTCTCTTGAATTCATTAGATTATTTTATAAATTTATAAAAAATTCAAACTAAAGTTACAAACATAAAACCCTAACTATATGAAGTATACTGGATAAACAAAGTGCATCAAAATGAAATAAAATCTTGATCACATTTACCCATTCATAAATAATATTGACAAGAATATTTTTTCTGTAAAATAATTCAACTTAGTTCTTATTTTGTCCGGGTATTCTAGTTGATAGAACTCTGCATGTTCTTTTTTTTATATTATTTTAATAGACATGATATTTCTAAAAAAGATTTCAACTTAGAAACTGGAAACATCATCTATCTAAATACGTAGAATGACGTTCACATCTCAAACTCTCATTAACAATAATAAAGTATATTTAAGTGGAAAAATAATGAGTTTGAATCTGCTTTGACCAACACTAAGCATTATTTATTACTAATAACTGTAGCATAAAATAATATCGATATATTAATTTTTCATCTTTCTGTATATATTATAAAACTATTTAGGATATTGTGAGAAGTGTTGATAGTAATTCATGGTTAAAATCAAAAATGAATTTGTAAAAGTCTTATAAAAATTGCATAGAAAAATTTATTAGATTTAGAGTTCTAATTGGAATAATGTCTTTTTAGTGCAAACAGTAGCAGCCTCGGAGATAAATATAATATGTCAAATAAAAATAGAGATTTGAATTATAAACTTTCAGTAGAATGAATACAGTAATTAAAAATATATTTATCAGAATTCTAATTGTAGTATTAATCAAGGATTTACAGAATTAAAAAGTGTATTTTTAATCTTCTAATATGTCGAAGTGTAAATTTAAATTAGTTTACTTGTTTGAATCGAGAAAAAAAACATTTTTATGAAATGAAATTTAATTTTGTTCAAGTCGTTAGTATTGTTTGATAATGAAGAGAAATGATAATTACAGTTATTCTCATATAATCTGAAAATTAAAAGTGTTATTATTACGGAGCTGTGCCTTGAAATAGTTATAATTAATTCATTATAAAATTCTTTTATAGATTATATTTATATTAATTCTGACGTCTACAAGATGTTAAGAAATATAATTAATTATGGACTTTATAAATATTAGATTCTATTCAGACGAAAAGAGGGTTTGATTATTTTGATATATTGTTATATGTTAAAGTGACTATTATAATCAACTTAATAACAATCCTTTAATCAAGATTTTAGAGGACCTAGTAAGGTTCATCATCAGAGTTCACCAGGATCTGCTTCTTCCTTTGTGATATGCACGTAGTACAAGGTGAGAAACAATAGAACCAACATTATAACGATATTCATCGATTATTCATGGCTGGTCTTAACCTAATAATGATAAGAAGAGGCTATGGGTGTGATCAGATGTAGGTGTGGATGTATGATAATATAATATCCACACCCTCAAAATTACGTCGATAACATAACACATCAATAATAAAAAAAGTATTGAGAAAAATATATGAGAGATGCATAAAAGTGAATATACTGATATTTTCATTTGTTTGATTGATGAGGATACTGCACGATCGATTAAGCTAAAATCAGTACTGAACAACTTTGTGATTCTCACAATTCATCATTCACTATCTCTTCATAGATTAAAATGATATAGCGTAAATAGAACAAATCATATAAAACAGATAATTTTATGTATCTTGTACACTGAGGAACATCTCAAACATACGCTCTATATAATTGAACACTTCAGTAACGTAGTATGCGTTCTCCGCAAAACAATCATTGACTTGATCTTTATTCATACAACTTCCAATATACGCGAAAAATTCCATATTTTAATATTAAATGAAAGGGGTATGGATGTGAGCAAATAAAAGGTCATCCTCACCTTCAAAATGTATTGTATTCATATACTTCAGATTCTGTTGATGAAAAATTGTTTTCTTACAGTCTACCATCGTAATGATTGCTCTTTAAAAACAATTTTTTTTAATTTGATTTATTCAATGTTCTGACACACAAACACTGACAACGTCAAATAATTACATCAAAAGAAATTGTTTCTACATTTGGAAATTTATTAATATCTCTTCTAACTAGGAGCAACTTGATTATTGGCTGCTAATTGTTGTCGCCATCTTCTAAAATATATTTTCGTCATTACATAAACAAATTGTCGACGAAATCGTTCTGACACGCACATATAAATGTAAAATGAGCTCTAAAACACAGTCAAAATTCATATATTTAATCAAATCTATTATACTACTTACTCCAAAATATGTATAGAAAATCAGTATTGTTATTGTACTAATAAATTGTAATATTTCTAAGATAGCTGCATTACTTATATTAGTTGTAGCATATAAAATAGCAATCATGGTAACACATGGTACATTAGTCAAGAAATTGAGAAGTACTTGAATAAAAACCATAGTTGTTAATTGTATATCCAACTCTCGACGAACAATAGGGACTATGCGATAAGCTATTTGTTGTATATTACGATAAGCTAAGATTCCGATTAATACTGAAATAAAGTCAGGAATATAACCTGTTAAAAATAGACTAATAAAATAATTTCTATATATTGACATATTTTGATCTGTAACAGTGCATGTAACCTTGCCGGTAGAAGGAGATGTTACGTGTTGTAAAAATATTGGATATGGAACTAGAAAAAGACAGCAAATGAAAGCAAATATTATTATCAAATAATAAGCTGTTTTGATATTGCTCCATTGTTGCCAACGAACATGATTACAAGTAACTAAATATTGATCAATGATTGCCAAACATAAACATATGTATGATATCAATGAACATAATAGAAAAGTAGTTAATCGAGCTTTACAAAAAGCTACCGACATTGAATTCCAATCAATTGCAAAACCATAAATCATTATACGAGAAAATAGACCAAAAACTAATTGACCAATATTGACAAAAGACATTATACTTAGATAGAATGCAGATGTATTCTCTCGGAATGTTTTCAAACTCAGAAATACAATAATGGTGAATAATTCGCCAAGAATACCAGCCACAAGGATAAAAAAACCACCATAGATAGTGATCTGTTGTCCAATAAAAGTTAATGTCATCTGATGAATCTTAATTTTATTTTCTATTAGATCTAGAATATAATAAAAGATTGTTTTTAAGCTGAAAAAAATATATTTAACTCTTTACGATTATTGTTCATTTAATATACAGATAGCTAATCGCGCAATAATGAAAAAAAAGGATTCTAATATGCATCTTGAGAGTTAATATTTATCAGAGCTATGCAAATGACAGTTGTTTATTGTATTCATATTTTTAATAAAATAAAAAGTAAGACTAAACAATATTGATGTGTGTCAAGTAACTTAATCCTCTAAGACTCAATTTTTAATTTTAACTATGTTATTATCAATCTGTCAAACAAATTCATTTGTTCTGCTGCTTTGAAGGTGTAAATCTAACGCTTCAAATATAAAAAAGTCTATTCTATACCAATATTTTCAACTATAAATCATATACGCCAAAGATTAACTTTTAGTCATTAATGTAGTACATGACTTAATAAAAGTATTTATAGATAAGTATTTATGTGATGAGATAGAGAAAAAGATCTAAATTAGTTATCTATAGTTTATTCACGTATCTTTTTTTGTTTGAAAATCTTCCATTCTATACTATTGTACAGCGATTCTGAAAAAAATCTGTGCGTCAACAACAGATTTTTCCATTAAGGTTTAATTAATAAAAATTAATCTCATCGAAGAAGTTAGCAAATGAAAAGAAAATATTGCTTTTCTTTTTCTATTTTTAAATTATCATTTACTTTAGTTATACAAATGGGTTAGCCTAACTGAACAGAGAATAAATACAAAAGATCACTATTCTCATATATTTATTTATCAGTAATTTTTTACAGAGAAACTCATACTCGTGCTAATAGGTCGCACTCACTTGATGAATATTTTCATTATCATATAATGGCGTTCATAGTAAATGATAAAATGAAGAATATGACGTCAATGGCCAAGGGCGTTGCTTACTCCTTTATAATGAAAACTTAAATAAGCTGTTTGCCCCAAAGTAAAGAATCTAGTAGTACTAATCTGTTGGTAAAATATATTAAATAATAGTAATTTTCTCATAAGAAAAGCAATTAACGAGAGTAATGTTTTCCATACAATTATTAACTACTATTCATGTCTTTCGGCATTATCACATGTCAAATATCGTATATAACCACCCGTGCGAATTGCTGACAGATGCAAGATAAAAGGATAAGGATGTGCATTTGTATGTTATCATCATCTCACAGCCACAATCACACTCTCAATTATCGACTTAATCGCACTGAGAATTAACAATGGATCATTTTTTACAATATTTGTTGGAATTGCCATAATCTATTGAAAAACTACTATATCTATAAATCCAGAACAGAAATTACTTCTTTAAAAAAAGTTATAGATGATAACTTTGTTTTACCTTCTGATTAATAATAAAATTTTTGTATATTTGTTTTTTGATTATAGTTTTATAAATTCTTTTCTTATGGTAAGTATTCTTCTTGAAGTTGTCGATCGATCGGATAATTTTAAGAGTAGGTGAGTATAGGTGTGAATGAATTAGTGTTGAATGAGACATATATATTTTATAATAATGACTATTATTTGGTTCTATATAGATTTTTCTAGGGTGTG